AGGAACATCCAATCCAATCGGAGTCACAGTAAGCTACCAACTTGGTACCACCTTCTTTTCGTATAAAAATTCCTTGACCTAGGGTGCCTTTGAGATAGCGCAGGACGCAAGTGGCAACCTCCATGTGCCTTTGTCAAGGATCAGAAACAAACTGACTTAACATGTGAACAACATCCGTGATGTCCGGTCTTGTCGCTTGAAGGTACAACAGCCGTCCAACCAATCTATGATACTGGCTAGCTTCAACCCATGGGCTATCATCACACTGATCCAGTTGCAAGTTTTGTTCTATAGGGAAAAAACTTGACTTGCATCCTAACATTTCCACTGTCATTTAGAATGTCAAGTGTGTATTTTCGCTGGCTCAAGACTATTCCATCGGGCTTTCTTGCCACTTCAATGCTAAGGAAATACTTTAGTGGCCCCAAGTCTCTAATGCTAAACTTCTCATTGAGGAAGTCTTTAGTTTCTTGAATTTTAGTCGTACTATTTCCCGTTATGATCACATCATCCACATATATTAAGGCCGCAACATAGTCTCTGCCCTTTTCGTATATGAATAGTGAGGCATCAACATATGTTTATTTGAAGTTCAAGCTTGAAAGGGTCGTAGTGAACTTTTGGTACCAGTTACGTGAAGCCTGTTGCAAACCATCAAGCGACTTTTTTAACCTGCATACCCTGGTCTCTCCTTCCTTGGCGAAGCCCTCTGGTATTTTAATATATACTTCCTCATCGAGATCTCCATGCAAGAAAGCATTATTCATTTCAAGTTGGTGGATGATCCAACTCTTCTTCATGGCTACAATGAGGAGAGTAAGCATTATTCACGTCAAGTTGGTGGATGATCCAACTCTTCTTCGTGGCTACAGTGAGGAGAGTTCGTATCGTGACTAGTTTAGCCACAAGTGCGAATGTGTCATGGAAATCAATCCCTTCCAATTGCATGAACCTTTTTGCCACTAATCGCGCTTTATACCTCTCGACTTCCCCATCCGGTTTGTACTTTGTTTTGTACACCCACTTTGAATCAATGGCATGTTTCCTTTTAGAGAGTTTTTCAAGAGTCCATGTTCCATTTTCTTCTAGATCGTTTATCTCCCTTTTCATGGCTTATCTCCATTTTTCATGTTGCGCGGCCTACCTAAAATTATTTGGCTCATCATTTGAGCTGATGGCAAACAAAAAAGCTTTGTGTTTGTTAGAGAAGCTTTTATAAGAGATATGATTAGTGATGGGGTGTACCGTCGAGGAATCTTGTTCGCGTGTAGCGTGTGTGGGGTCCATTGAGGGTGGTAGATTCGCGACGAAGTCTTCAAAGCACCTTGGCTGTGTCCTCGCTCTCTTCTCTCTTTGGCCATAATCTTGTGGTACGATGGGTTGGACTTCTAATTCGGTCTCATTCATAACCTCCAGCTCCACAGTGGAATGATTCTCATTCTGACCAACATCATTTTTTGTTTCGATCTCAACGTCATCGCCACCCGAGTTCTCTTGACCAACGTCCTTTGGACTTGTGTCATCATCACATAAATTATCATAGAATTCCACCCCGTCATCTTCATCTTTGTTTCTTTGTGTTTCAGTAGCCACAAAAAGGAAAACTTGTTCGATAAACCTTACATCTATTGATGTGATGATCTTGTTTTCGCCAATATCGTACACTCTATAACCATTTTCTCCAAGCGGGTAGCCCACGAACACACCTGGTCTCCCCCTTACTTCAAACTTGTCTCCCTATGTTTATGTGTTTCTCACATATGCGAGGCAACCAAATACCTTCAAGTGCTAGCTTGGCTTTTGTTTGAACAATATCTCAAAGGGTGTTTTAAAACCAATCACCTTGAAAGGCAACCTGTTGATTATATAAGCTGCCGTCATGACACACTCTCTCCATAATTTTGTTGGCAGATTAGCTTCGAACTTTAAGACTCTCGCCATCTCGAGAAGATGTCGATGCTTCCTTTCGACACCTCGTTTTGTTGTGGGGTGTGATGGCATGTTGTCTCAAGGATAAATCCTCATTGAGCATAAAAGTCAGACATAGAACCTGATGTGAACTCTCCCCTGTTATCACTCCTTATTTTCTTGACGTCTTTTCCAAACTATGTTTTGACCATATTGTAAAAATTAACTAGATGACTATTGGCTTCGTACTTGTGTTTAATAAGAAATACCCACATTGCTCTGCTAAAATCATCAACAATAGTAAGAAAATAGTGTGCTCCCGAGAGAGATGGTGTACGATAGCTTCCCCAAACATCACAATGTAATAAATCAAAACACTCGCTAGTTTTAATAACACTGTCGCCAAAAGGTAAACGAGAATGTTTGGCTTTTGAACACGAATCACAAACTCTGTCTTTTAACTTAAAGGTAAAATCTGCTAAAAAATTAACTTGATGTAACTTTGCCTCAGAGGCGTGCCCTAATCTCTTGAGCCAAATGGAAACGTATAGTGCTGTCATCAATGCCTTCCTTGCCACCGAACATATTCGATAGAGACCCCCATCACATTGCTCCGTTCCAATCAAGCTCCTCGTCTGCAGATCCTGTGCAACAAAGAAGTCAGGGAAGAAAGTTACTGCACAGTGTAGATCTTTGGTTAATAGACTAACGGATAAAAGATTGCATTTAAATTTCGGGATGTATGATACTTTGGAGATCTTTATTCCATTTGGTAGCATGTTGGAACCTCTTCCCTTAACTGGGATATAGTCGATTGTGTATGACGACCGCTGTCTCGCCATTGGCGCCAACCCTGTTTTCGAGTAAATCATCTTTCTCGGTCATGTGTTCAGTCGCACCTGTGTCAACAATCCAGGTTTCACCTTTATCAATTTTACCTTCCATGTTAGTTGTAGCATTGTTTCCTTCGTTGGAGAAGTGCTTGATCAGCCTCTGATATTGTTCACTTGTGATTCCTGATGGACTCGATTCAGCGTCAACCCATGCTGCCATAGGCTTTCTCTTTTCTTTATTTCCTTTGCCTGGCCACCACCCCGAGTAACCAATTCTTTTGAAGCAGCCCTCTTGGTTGTGATCGTCCTTGCTGTAGAAGGTGTAGTGTTCGACCTCTTCCCCGTCGTTGCGCCTTGTGTCTTTCGTCGTTCCTTTGTTTCATTGTGCAGTCAAATTATTTGGCACCTCTTGTCGGTTCTGTAAAAGATTTGAAAAGCAGCAGCTTCCTGTGCCGGTTTCTTTGTCACCGAGATGGCCCTTTGCTGTTCATCTTCGGACACGAGGTGGTATGTTGTTCCCAGCATGGGAGTTGGTTTTGACGCAAGGATATGTGTTCTTACGGTCGAGAACACACCATCAAGCCCCATCAAGAATTCGTAACGCCTCTCCTTTTCTTTGGCTTCATTCAATCTCTTCCTAGATCACACGTGCATTTACCACATGAACATCTAGGGATCGATGAAACATATTAAATCTCGTCCCATAGTCCTCGCATCTTCGTGTAGTAAGCCGATACAGAGTCTCCATCTTATTGCGTCGTGGTGAGGTCCAAATCTTTCTTCAAGATCTGCCCATATCTCTGCCATTATGTTGGCATATTTTACGCTCGACCTGATTGTTTTCTCCATGGCTATGGTGAGCCATCCCTTGATCATGGCATCGCACCGCATCCATGTCATGTATTCCGATGAGTCTTCTTTTGATGTCTTGATCATCCCGTTCGCAAATCCTATCTTGTTCTTTGCGAACAGGAAGTTCTTTATCTCCTGTGCCCAATCTCCATAGTTTCCGTCTGTGAGAACGTTGTTTACGTGCATCTGTCTTGGATAATCTGATGCATGTAGATAGTATGATGTCGTCGGCTTTGTTTATGTTTCCGTCGTCTCCCATGATTCTGACGGCGGCTTAGGGTTTGTTGTGTGGTCCATATGACCCGCTCTGATACCATAAACAATTTGTTGACCAGAAAATCGATTATTCATTAAGATCAAAAGGAGGAGTATAAATATACCCAACATTTACAAGGAAACATGACATAAAAGAGGAGAGAATTGCTACAATTATGGATAGAAAAAAAGAGGATTGCTACAATTATGGATTGACACAAAGTATGGAAAATCCTTTACTTTTCATGACCCTAATTTTTTATCTTACGATAGAGGAACAAATTGGTAGCACAGTCTTATACACTGGGTTTGCCCTGCCATTGGTGCCTCAATGGACATCCATGAGTGATACAAGTTCAACTCTTGCCATTTTGTCCATACTACTATGAGTGGGCGTTCTTAGAACACTCATGTAGAGGTTTTAGAGAGCTGATTCAAGTTACATGTTTGGAAGCTCGAAAAAATAATATCATGTTTGAGCTTGAATAGTTTTTTTTTCCAAATTTCTTTTTTATTGTTTGAGCTTGACACTTATTTAAAGTTTTTCTGTTACATATTATGACATAAGAAAGATTAATAAGGTCATTTATGAGATCGGACTCTAGACCAACTCACTCACTTATTGGCTCGAGCTCCATATTCGATTGTATTTTATGAACATGTTCGACTTGAAAAGTATATGTTCATATGACTCGACTCGACTAAGAAAATTCAATGAGCTTTGAAATGAGTGACTTGAATGTTGGTGTTTTAGAGCTTGACTTGTTAGGTTAAACTAGTAGAAGATTTATGCAATACTGACCAGGCTGTCTACAGCAAGTGTGCAATATCAGTCAAGTAATATGTACTAAGGGGTTGTTTACTAGCTGCTGACTAGGTTGACTCGGTCAGTAACACTGACTAGATCAGTAGTCAACGTGTTTACCAAATTAAAAATCTGACCGAGAAACTAACAGAGATCTTACCAAGCCAGCACCAAAATGATGCTTACCCTAGTCAGTTTTCATGTTGCCAGAGTTGCCCTTCCCAAAATATCTAGTAGGCGGTGAGGTTCTGGAAAGAGGGTTCAGAAAAGAAGTCATGTTTGTTGAATCGCCAGTAGGGTTTTGGTGGGTGATCCATGGTAACCAATGATGAAGGGTTGAACGTTTTTTAGCATGGATTGGTCGACGGTGGAGTAACGGACGTAGCCAATGGCGTTATCGCTGAGGAGTTGGTTAAGTTTTGACTGGTTGAAGACTTCGGAGAGGAGGCTGACGCCGGTGAAGAATTTGAGAATGCCGTCGGGAGTAGCGACGACGATTCCATCGTCTTCTTGGCCGCGATGTTGGAGGGCGAGGTAGCAGAGACAAGAGGCTTCTGTGTCGCTGTAGATTCCAACGATGCCACACTCTTCGCAGGGTTTATCAATGTCGTATTCGTTAAAGATGGAGTTTTGTTCATCTTAGTAGGATTCTCGTAATGTAATGACGTTGCAGACTTGTTTTTTTGCGGAAGTTTTTGAATGGATTTTGTGAGTGAGAGTGAAGGATTGAGTTTTGTGGAGGGTTTTGAAGGAGGCGAAAGAGGGTTTGTCGACATATTTGGACAAGGAAGAGTGGTGGGTGACGGAGATGCGGTGATGGCGGCCATGAAAATAGTTTTCTTATTAGATCTAATAAAGAAAAAGTTAGGGGCTGTTTGTTTTTAATAAAAAAGCTCTTAATGTCCTCTTAAGTCTGAATCGGTCAGAATAAGAAGATTCAATGTGTTTTTTTTTTTCAATTAAGAGCTTAAAAACTCTTATTAGGTCTGAAAATTTAAGTGGTTGAGAAACCTCTTATTACCTCTTATTTCAAATCGTCGCCTACTGTTGGTCCCAAAAGGGTCTACAAGAATACTAAACAGTTTGTAGAAAGGGGGGGGG